AGAAAGAGAGAAAGATATATATATATATATATATATATATATATATATATATATATAAACATAGACACCAAATTTGATAAGAAAAACATCATTTAATACTAGGAAATATTGTGCATGAGACATAAAATAAAAATAAAAAGGCCAACATTTTGTAATTATGTGCGTAAACAAAGACTCATAATAAAAGTTTCATGAAACAATCTCAACACATTGTGTGGAAGCCTCTAAAGTTTCATGGAACAAGTTTTAGTCCGATACTTATCGGATTCAGTTCGGTAGATTCGATTTGGAAGCGATTTATACCGTATTTACAAAAACTATACCAAATTAGAAACTAATGTTATTTGGGCCTTGAATGATTAGAGCTTGTTGAGTTTTTAAATTTTAAAAACAAAAAAAAAACTAACAATTAAATTTTTATATTTTTTTTTAAATTTGAAAAAACTATTTTGGTGAATTAATCAATGAAAAATCAAAAACTATATATTTTTTTGTTTACAAGTTTTGAACGGGGATAGCTTTTATTTTGGATTTTTGGATTTAGTTTTTTTATTTTAGTTTTTAGTTTTTGATTTTTTGTTTTTGGATTATATAATATTTAAAAACTAAAAATAAGTAGATTTTGAGTCTTGAAAATGACAGTGGTTTTTATTTTGGTTTTTTGGCTTTAGTTTTTGGTTTTTGGTTTTTGACTTTTGGATTTCATAAATTTGTAAATCTAAAAAATTGTGCTTTTTAGTTTTTAATTGATTTTTTTTATAAAGTAGATTTCAGATTTTTAGAAAAACTAAATTTTAAAAAACTTGATTGTTAATTTTTTCAGTTTTTTAAAATTCAAAAAATGCGAAAGCCTCTCCTCATCCAGCACATTGGTTTTTCATTGATTTTTTTCACTAAAATAATTTTTCAAATTTTTAGAAAAGATAATTTTGTGAAAACTTGAATGGTAGTTTTTTTAGTTTTTGGATTACAAAAACTTCAAAAACTCCAATCATTCAAGGCCATAATTTTTTGTTTTTCATTGATTTTTTCCACCAAAATGGCTTCTAAATTTTTAGAAAAAATAATTTTATCAAAACTTGAATGATAATTTTTTTGGGTTTTGGATTGTAAAAACTCCAAAAACTCTAACCATTTAAGGCCAATATAGAATTCAAAACCCAAAACCAAAAATTTAAAATAAAAATCATTTTCATTCAAAATCTTGATGTGTACTGGTTCGAAACTAAATTCCGGAACCGAGACGCCCACACTTGGTAAAACAAAAAAAACAAATCTCTACTTGAAAATCTAATCTAGGGAGCGTGATCCGATTCTTTCAGATGGATTTCGGGACCTGAATCCTTTCAGGTAGCATCACACTCGGAGTAGGGATGAGCCAAGAGAATGTAACCATGGACTCGGATCGAGAGAAGGGGGAAAAAAAGATGATACCTTTGCAACTTGGCATGAAACGTGTATAATAAAAGCAAACCGTTCTAGAAATCTCAGTCACAAATGGCAACGCTTGCAAAATCAATCAACTTTCACATGCGACTATATAAAATATAAATAAGAATAACATCACACGGAATGGCGAGTTGAGGAACAAGGAAAAGCGCAGCATAATGTCGAAATAAAGGTTATTATTTGTTGTTACTTGATGCAGGATGGCAGAGTCGGTCCATGGCAGACAAAGGCCACAACGATGTATATGACCACCAACAGCAGTAGTATCAATAGGAACCTGCCAGCAAAAAAAAAAAGATTTAATCTTCATGTCATGCATTGTCCAAGTTAGGGTTTTGAAATTTGCAAGTTCAGAAGAGAGAAAAAACCATACGTGAGCTTGCAATTTCTCCACCACACGGTGTTTCTGAAGCGGCGTGCTTGTTTTCTGAAGCGGAAGGTATTTCCCTGCATGTGGGCGGTTTTGTCGACCAGCAACTCCAGCCGTTCCCCTCTATCAAGAACTTTGTCAATGTTCTCTATCATTATATTCCGCACCTGTGGATAATGGTAAAAGAAAAAAAAAGATCGAGAGGCTTAAATTCATCCTCCTTGTCGACTCCGATCGATTCTTAGCCTTTCCGATACACACGGTAAGTCGCGAATTTGTAATGCCAGAAAACTGGACTTGCCCCATTGCTCATCAGCAAAGAAGCTTGAAGATTGTTGGTACAGAATTGTGATGAAACACTATGATTAATGTGATAGTTGCCGCATAACTAGAATTCGTTGGCATGGTGTCTGAAGATGAGAAACATACCTGACTCATTTCACCCTTAATCCGAGTGATCCTGTCGGCATTTGGATCATTAGAATAATACTCGATCTGCTGACCCAGAACCCTCGAGAATTCATCATTCATGGCGTATGCTTGAGCTGAAAAAACCGCTCTGCCATAAGTCCTCACAAATCTCTGGTGAATATCCTCCAGAAACGCAAATGGAATTCTCCCTGAAAATCACATTCAAACAAACCCACAAGGTTGTTTAGATCGTGTATCACAGAAAAGGTTGAACTCTTCCCATCTCATATTATTCTATCCTATGATTGAAAGTTCTCAAATCCAAACGACTCATGCTTTTATCATATGCCCTTATCTACCAAGAACAACGAACTCATCGCATATCGCATACATCAGAAAACAAGAATTTCAACAATTCCTGAAATCTACGGTCGAATTCTCGAATAACCAACGTGATATCATCCGTTTTCTGAACCATCGGAAAAGCGAAACAATGTAAAAAGAAAAGGCCAAAAGAAAAACAAAAGCGCGATTGTAAATTTCGTATTCCTCAATCTCATCAAATCGAAACCATAAAAAAAAATCACAGAAATCGATCGAAGTTCAAAAATCAAGCAGCGATCGAAAAATCTTAGAAAGGAGAACAAATCGAACGAATAGGATAAATCAAAAGGGGAAAGATAGGGCACACGCACTTCCGGCTGCTTCGTCGGCCATACAGAGGACGGTGAGGCCATCGGTGCGCTTCACGTGGAAGACGTAGCGATCCTGAGAGTAGGAGACGTGGCTGTCGTTGTTGCCGGGTATCTTCTCGAGGATCTGCTTCGCGATCGAGCTGGCGTTCGTCGACGTCGAGCTGAACTCCGCAAGCACAACCGTCCCACGCGCCACGAGCGCGTACAGAATCGCCATCTCCGCCTGTCCTCGCCGATTCAACACACCACACGGCGATACGAAGAACGCACGCGCCGGCTAGAAAGAGAGAGAGAGAGATGTCAACGACGAAGATTTTCTCGCCGGAAAACGAGCCGATCAATCGTGAAGACCATTGGTTTTCATATTTATGCAAATAATTGACTCTCTCTCTCTCTCCAATTTGAATCCTACCTGGTAAAGGATTCCTTCTTACAGGTCACTAAAAATCTAAAACAAATAAATAAATAAATAAATTCCTCAAACTCATAGTAGGAATTAAAAAATATATAAATTCATATCTTTATCAAAAAAAGGTAGGAATTAAAATATTTTAAAAACAAAAAATTATATTGACAACGAAAAGAAAAAAATAAAAGCAACAAAAAGGAAAAACATATATTTCATTTTGAATTTGGTTTAATAATGATATTGTAAATTATATTCTTTTTATATGTTAGATATATATGTATATATAAAATAGATTAAATAAAGAGCTGGATTCGATATGGCCAAATCACTTTAGCCATTGTTGTCTCCTTAAAAAGGGGAAGATCTTTTTTTTACTCGCTTTCTTAAAGTTTTATTGTTTTCCCATTAGAATTTAATTTTCCCGGTGGCGCCAAACAATATTACAAAAAAATATACTGAAATTAAACATAATTATAAAAATATCTTTCACATGTAAACTTTTTCCCCAAAAATATAAAGATTAATATTTGGTGAGAAAATGAAGAAAATGAGCCTTGGTCAATAAATGGAATGGTCCTCTTTTGATTGGCTGAGCAGTAGATTTAAGTGGGTCCCACATAAAGTTTATGGAAAGCCCATCGACTCGTAATGAGCCTCAAATAAGCCCAATATGATTGATCATATTACTATTGGGCCTATATTAGCCCATTCATTTGTGGTCCATAATGCCTTCTGCCTTCATGAATTTATCTTACAAAACCCTATGTTTTTTTTAATCGTATTGTTAGAAGAAAATTGAAAGATTCCAAATACCAAAAAGTCAACTGAAAATCAGGTATAGTTTTTATTTTTATTTGGTAGATTTGCAAGAATATTGTGTAAGAATATCATAATAGTAATTTTTATTATATAGATAATCAAATATACAATGTTTTCGAGAAGAAAAAAAATACACATATTTTTTATATCATGGAGACAATTTTTTTTTTTAAAAAAAAAGTAACTACTTTTCATCAGACGTTAGAAAATTATCGTAAACAATCGGTTAACTAATTTTTGTAACTATTGTAAAAATACATACAGATCCCAATATCTCTCAATTGATTCTATTTATTCATAAAATTTTCACAACTACAATTTATTTATCTAAATTAGTAATGAACGCACCACGCTTTTCCTAAATACTAACATCTAAAACATGAATTCTTTCGATTCAATACCCAAAACGTGTGAATCTCTAAATTTTCATATCCAGAATTCGTTATGATAATCTCTACATAACTCTCATTCATATATATATATCGTTTACATAAACCCTCATAAAAAGTCGCACTCTTTGCAATTTTTTCTCTTAAACTCGGTAATTTTTCTAACCTCCACCATTCTTCTTTTATGCACCACGTCCAAATGCTCCACATTTCTTCAGACTTAATTTCATCTTGTTAAGTTGATTTGTCCTTATATTTTTTTCTCTAAAGTTGTTACACAAATCTTAACTTCAATCGTTAATCTGATCTTATCCTTTTGGTCTAAGATTTTTCTTCATAACAATTTTTAACTACCCGTAAAAACAAATTTTTCACTATGAACAAGCATTTACAAGAGAAAGAAGATAAAGTTAGGAAAGGTCAATCTTAATTCATGAAAATGGACATATGGATGGATGTATTAAAAAGAAATGGTTTATGATGGTTTTATTTTCTTTCCCTTTGAAAATAGTCAAATAAGATTATAATTTTTTTTTATGTTTATTTCATTCATTCTTTTACTATAATTATTTTTTAAAATAATTAATTTTATCTTTTCATAAAATATATTTATAAAGGTATAATCTAAATTACATTGAAATTAACAGTCGATCTATGAATGAATGAACTTAAATTACATCGAAATAAGTAGGGATGACCATTTTAGATTTTGATTCGCGTTCGATACGGTTATATTTGAGTTCGGTTATTTTGCTTATAAAAAAATTATAAACATTCGAATTTAGTTGGATTATAATATTTTTAGTATTAAAGAAGCTCTACATACACAACAAGCACCCATGGCCTAATGGATAAGGCGCTTGACTTCTAATCAAGCGATTGTGGGTTCGAGTCCCACTGGGTGTGTAATTTTTTAGTCATTATTTACTTGCGAAGGAGAGATTATTTCCCATATAAATATATTTATAATAACATTATTATGCTGAGTCCAATTAAATCCTAAATTAATGGCATAATTTCAACATTTGCAGCCCTCTCGATGATGAGAAAGCCGTTGAAAATTTTACAAAAACAAAAGGGCTACCTCTCCTCCGGTCCGGGAGGTTCGTGAAAGAATAAATAGTCGTACTCTCTATATATAAAGGCTTCATCAGAAGTCTCTCATCCCACCACGCCACGAAATTCACCTTCCCATTATCTTGAAGTAGGCATATAAAGCAGATCCTATGAACCCAAGAAGCTGCCCACTCACATTCAGCTGCACATACATTCATTCTCCACGTCAGAATCTCCGGACAAAAACAGGGGGGGGGGGGGCATTTTCTTCTTTTTTTCAGAGAAAAGGCTTACTATGTCGAATGGAAGTCCCCCGAAGAGCATCCACCCAAGTGTGATGGTGAACAGATCCTGCAACAGCCAACAACAATCCTAGGTTTGGTGAGTAATTACTCAGCCAAATCACAAGTGGAAAACTGCGTGCGGCTGTTCTAGTGTTCTCTATCGATCGAGAGAGGGTGAAGTCCCGACCTTGAGGTTGCCGCAAATCGTCTGAGTGAGAGCCGAGTTTAGAGTTGTGTTCAGAAAAATGCTGTAGTTTAAGAAGAAAGCCAGTATGCACGAACACATCAACACCACCTGAATCAATCCGACAAAAGAAAAAAGAGAGATCGATATTAGCCACAACCCCCACAAGAGAGATCGACAAAGAATGGTTCCGAGGGTAAAGCAAAAACCTACCAGGAAACCCGGGTTCATTATATAAGGAAACTCCAGCGTCTTCTCCAAGTCACCCGAGATAAATGTCCATACAAGCAATATTGGTCCGCATATTATTCCTAATCACCGAAAATTTCATATATCACTCCTCCTCCTGGTAGTTTAGCTAAACTAAAAGTTTGGTTAGATTACCGTTGCACCACATCAGCCCGAAACTATTCAAGCCACTCTTTTTTCCTGGAAAGATACATTAGAGATGTGTGTAAGATAGATTTTCAATCTTTGCATGAGGAAAACAACGAGGAAAAATCGTGAGAAGAGTACCAGTCCGGCTAATGGTTGCTAGATACACTGCCGTTGTTATGTTTGCCAAGAAAACGACAGCATATCCATAAAAGTCAAATGACAAGTCCCTAGCTCCGGCGAAAAATGCGCCAACCACGATCACACCAACGCTGACACCAGTCTTAGAAAGCTTCAGTTTTTGCTTAACAAAATTAGGGTAATGATTTTTTTCTTTCAGAGGGTATAACGTGCACATCTGTAAGGAGGATTCAAGCAATCGTCTACTTAAGTGTACCATCAGCTGAATAAAGTTAATACATAAATCTCTGCCGGCAAAGTAACACTACACTCTCCTGAATCCTGCCTAGTATTCCTCAAAACACAAAAGTCATCTCTTCTTATGTGGCGGGTTATCAAAGAGATACCATCTGCTGGAAATCATTTTAACTCATAAGATAAACCACTATCATTTTCATTACCATAGGGAGCTAATTCTAAGAAAAATGTGGACTTACCTTCCGATGATGGACTGCGAATATCTCTGTCCTGTAAGCATGTACTCAATCACCATAGTAAACACCACTGTAGTGCGCCTAAGAGTTGTATACATGGGAACATTTACCCCCCTGATAGACGCCATAGAGGCTAGCTTTCAGAAGAAACAAAGACACATGGAATAAATTCACGGTTGTTTTGTTTCGTAGGATCAAAACAGAAAAACGATATTGGCAGGCTTTGTTCAAGTAAAATGGTTACCATGTAGAGAAGATAGGTTATCGACAGGGGAAGGGTGTGAAACACTGTTTTCAGCGGCACAAAAGTCGGTGCAGTACTATCAGAAGCGGAAAAAGAGTCAGCAGCTGCAAAGGAGATGATCTTCCTGCATCTTAACCCATATAGAAACAAGCACGACGAAACCATCTGTTGGAACAGAAGTATCAAACCCTTTAGATAGCTTTACCAGAATAACTTCTTGCGTGCAAACTTCAATAGGCATGGGGATTAGAGTGAAAAAAAAAGTAACTTGAGAAATTCATGAAACAAGAAATCTGAAAGGCCAAGAGCGGGTGTAAGTGGGGTGTTGTATAAACCTGGAACAATGTGATAACATTTACACATGGGAACTTGTAGGAAGAGAGAGCGGCTTTATTGAAAAGCACGAGTAGAACTGCAAGTTAAGAGAAGACTAATGTCAACACCAACACAGTAAAATTCTATGCCATATTCCATTCTTGAAAATTCAATCTGAATCGAAAATTTGTTAAGAACATTATAATTACGTGATGTATTTTCAAAATCCAGAAATTGAAAACCAAACTCGAGAAGAGAGGAGCAGCTACAACAATAGCAATTCAGAACTGTACAATAGCAGAATTCAAAGCAGCAAAGTGAACCACAAGGAAGGAGTTCGATTCATCGTCACTAATCCAAAAACAACATAATACTCGAAAGAATCCTCCATACGCAGAATCCTCGGTATTGTGGGAACACATTTTCTTTTATGAAATGTAAACTGAATTAATCGCAAACTGTTCCGCTAACGATGTAAACGAAACAAGAAAGAATCAGTTGAAGAGATCACGTACCAGCGCAAGCCATGTATGAAACGGCGGCATAAGCTCCGCGTTTGGTCATGGCGGATCCTTTGAAAAGCCTGTCGCTGACGCCTTTACCGTCTCTCTCGATTTCTCCGGCCGGCGGAGGATCTGACACCGGAAGAATCGGATGCTTCATCGAATTCGTCGTCGACAGAGGCATGCTCCGACTACTCCTAGCTCCGGCGATTTCTGTCTCCACTGCCCCTCTCTCTCAAAGTCTCCGGCGAGATTTTGCGCCACCGCACGGCAGGGGAGGACTGACGAGAAGAGAATCCGTCAATGACACTGATCGTAGAAGACACGTAAGACTCCACTTGTTAAGAATTAAGGCCCATCCACTTCAATTGGGCCTAACTGGGCCGACTTGGGCATGACGAAAATAAACAAAACTACTAAAAATGTAGAGACAGAGACAATACATAATCTGTTATAAATGAATAGTGAAGCTACGGTACTGTTCACGCAGCCGGGCACTGTTCACGCAGCCGGGTGGACGTGGTTATTTTCGAGGTAGAGGCCGAGGTCGAGGTCGAGGCCGAGGACGAGGTCGTGGTGTTAGCCGAAGTTGGAATAGAGGAGGTGGTCGAGGAATCTCATTCCAAAACCATAACAATAATAGAGGGGGAACACATGATCATCCAAACAAACGGATGAAAGAAAGCACATGTCACCGGTGTGGAATGACAGGACATTGGTCACGTACTTGTCGCACGGCTAAACACTTGGTGGACCTTTACCAAAAATCGATTAAAGAAGCGAAAGGGAAAGGTGTCGAGACAAATCATGTCATAAACAATTCGGATGATGATGCTGGTGGTGCTAAAGATTTTACACACATGGACCTCGCTGATGGTTTTGCGCATCCTGAAGATGGCGTTGATTATGAATAAAAAGCCATATATATAGTTGTATCGTTTATATATGTAATCAACCTCGTAATAATCCATATATGCATAAATAATGCGTCTACATTTTGTAAAATAGTTATGTATCTGTGTCATCATTTCTGTTAGTCATAATGTTATAATATATTTTCTAATGTTTACTATGTTATTTTGTTCTTCAATAGATAATGAGTATGGCTAAATCTGCAAATCGAGGAGGAGATATATGTTTAGCAGATAGTGCTACAACACATACAATACTGACAGACAAGAAATATTTTTCTAGTCTGAAAATAAACAAAGGAAATGTCATTACTATATCTGGAAATGCAAAAATAATTGAAGGCTCCGGAAGAGCCGATTTCATAATGCCAGGAGGAACAAAATTTGCTATAAAAGATGCACTATTTTCCTCCAAGTCCCAAAGAAATCTATTAAGTTTTAAAGATATCCGACTGAATGGATATCATATTGAAACCACAAATAAAGGTGATATTGAATATTTGTGTATCACCTCAATCAATATGGGACAAAAATATGTGTTAGAAAAATTACCCACTCTATCTTCGGGATTATATTATACTAATATCAATGTGATTGAATCATATGCCACAGTAAACCAGAAGTTTACCGATATGTTCAAAGTTTGGCATGATCGATTGGGTCATCCTGGTGCCATTATGATGAGAAAGATTATCGAAAACTCTCATGGTCACCCATTGAAAAACCAGAAGATTTTTCAATCAGATGAGTTTTCTTGTGATGCATGTTCTAGAGGAAAATTAATAATCAGACCATCACAAGCTAAAATCGGGCATGAATTACCATCATTTCTAGAAAGGATTCATGGTGATATTTGTGGACCTATTCATCCACCATGCGGACCATTTCGATATTTTATGGTATTAATTGATGCTTCAAGCAGATGGTCGCATGTATGTCTTTTATCATCACGTAATCTGGCGTTTGCCCGATTTTTAGCCCAAATAATTAAATTAAGGGCTCAGTTCTCGGAATACTCAATCAAGAAAGTGAGGCTTGATAATGCTGGAGAATTTACATCACAAGCATTTAATGATTACTGTGTAGCAATGGGTATTGATGTTGAACACCCAGTTGCACACGTTCATACACAGAATGGATTGGCAGAGTCATTAATCAAACGACTCCAGCTTATTGCTAGACCATTGATAATGAAAACGAAACTTCCCATTTCTGTGTGGGGTCATGCCATTTTGCATGCTGCAACATTGATTCGTATTAGACCAAGTGCATACCACAAGTATTCTCCATTGCAATTAGCATTTGGTCAAGAACCTAATATATCGCATCTCAGAATATTCGGATGCGCAGTATATGTACCGATTTCCCCACCACAGCGTACAAAAATGGGACCACAAAGAAGGCTTGGAATATATGTTGGGTATGACTCCCCATCCATTATACGATACCTTGAGCCAAAAACTGGAGATATTTTTACGGCTCGTTTTGCTGATTGTCAATTTAATGAGAATGAATTCCCACCATTAGGGGGAGAAAATGATAGAATGTCGGGAACTAAAAATGATCTTAATTGGTGTACACAATCATTGTCACATCTTGATCCCCCGGCAAAACAACGAGAACTGGAAGTTCAAAGGATCATACATTTACAAAACATTGCAAATCAGTTACCAGATGCTTTTGCAGATACAACTAAGGTAACAAGATCATATATAGATGCTGCGAATGTCCCAGCTCGAATCGAAATTCCGAAAGAACAAATGAAAGAAAATGTAATAAACGATTCCAAAGCACGCCTGAAGCGTGGACGACCTATTGGTTCTAAGGATAAAAATCCCCGAAAGAGCAAAGGGCCCAAGAAAAATGAAATGCTCGATTCGGAGGAACGCGTTCCAAATCAAAGAAATGAAGTACCTTATGATGATGGTATAAATACAGACAATGAAAATCATGAGATCTCAATTAATTATATCAGTAATGGTACATTATGGAGTCGAAAAGAAATCAAAGAGATTGATGATATATTCTCTTATAATGTATCAAAGGAAATTGATGAAAATGAGGATCCAGAACCAAGATCCATTTCAGAATGTCAAAAGAGACAAGATTGGATTAAATGGAGAGACGCAATACAGACTGAATTGGATTCGTTGAATAAGCGAAATGTATTCGGACACGTCATTATTAAACCGAAAGAGGTTACTCCTGTTGGATGTAAATGGGTATTTGTACGCAAAAGAAATGAGCACAATGAAATTGCTAGATATAAAGCTCGCCTTGTCGCACAAGGTTTCTCACAGAGACCAGGAGTTGATTATGAAGAAACTTATTCTCCTGTTATGGATGCGATTACATTTCGATACCTAATTAACCTTGCAGTTTCAAAGAACTTAGAAATGCGTCTCATGGATGTTGTTACTGCTTATTTATATGGGTCACTTGACACAAACATTTATATGAAAATCCCTGAAGGATTTAAAATGCCCGAAATATTGAAATCAAAACCACGAGAATTATGCGCTGTCAAGTTACAACGATCATTGTACGGGCTAAAACAATCAGGACGTATGTGGTATAAACGTCTGAGTGAACATTTAGTGAAAAATGGATATACAAATAATCCTATTTCACCATGTGTGTTTATAAAAAGGACGATGTCTGGATTTGTGATTATTGCTGTCTATGTTGATGATTTAAATATCATTGGAACTCCCCGTGAAATTCAGGATGCATCCACCTATTTAAAAGGAGAATTTGAGATGAAAGATCTCGGACAAACCAAGTTTTGTCTTGGATTACAAATAGAGCATTTGAATACGGGAATTTTTCTACATCAATCTAATTATACAAAAAGGGTACTAAAGCGGTTCAATATGGATAAGGCAAATCCCCTGAGTACTCCAATGATTAATAGATCATTGAATGTTGAAACAGATCCATTTCGCCCCCGTGAAGATGGTGAAGAGACACTTGGTCCTGAAGTACCATATTTAAGTGCAATAGGGGCTCTTATGTATCTTGCCAACTGTACTCGACCTGATGTAGCATTTGCTACTAATCTGTTAGCAAGATATAGTTCAGATCCTACACGAAGGCATTGGAATGGGATTAAGCACATTTTCCGTTATCTTCAAGGATCGATCGATTTGGGATTATTTTTCCCTAAAAGTACAAAACAAGAAATTGTTGGTTTTGCAGATGCAGGATATTTATCTGATCCACATAAGGGAAGATCACAAACAGGTTATATCTTCACAATCAATGGAACTGCATTAGCTTGGCGTTCTCAAAAGCAAACATTGGTTGCTACGTCATCTAATCACGCAGAAGTTATCGCGCTACATGAAGCAAGTCGGGAATGTGTCTGGCTTAGATCTTTGACTCAACATATCCAGACAGCTAGTGGATTATCAACCAATAAAGCTCCAATAATATTATTTGAAGATAACGCTGCATGCGTTGCACAAACTAAGGGAGGATATATTAAAAGCGATAGGACAAAACATATTCCTCCGAAGTTCTTTGCATACACCCAAGAGCTGGAAAAGAATAAGGAGATTGAAGTCAGATACATACGATCATGTGATAATGCAGCAGACCTATTCACAAAAGCTCTACCGACAACAATGTTCAAGAAACATGTACATAACATTGGAATGCGTCATCTACGAGACCTTTGATCCGATATACAGGGGGAGCGTGGAACTGCACTCTTTTTCCCTTATCAGGTTTTATCCCAAGGGGTTTTACTGATAAGGTTTTTAACGAGGCAGTATAAGACACGCAAATACATTTTGATTAACCGTAGCTCCAAGGGGGAGTGTTATAAATGAATAGTGAAGCTACGGTACTGTTCACGCAGCCGGATACTGTTCACGCAGCCGGACACTGTTCACGCAGCCGGGTACTGTTCACGCCGCCATACGGTTACTGTTTAGCCGCCATACGGTTACTGTTCATAAATACGTATACGTGAACAGTAACTTCGGATTTTCTATAAATAGCTCATTTCCCTCCTTCATTTGTACACAATTCCAAGAGAACAAAATTATTGAAATCTTGTTCCCGGGTCTCTCAAACGATCGATTTCGGTTTCTAGTTAACGATCTGATTCTCGGGTCTTCTATATTTCTTCGTTTTTCACAACATAATCAAAATTTATAAAAACAAAGTATTTTGAGCATAAAAAAAATAGGGAGATAGAAAAAAACATGAATTTTTTAAATTTAGAAAATAAAAATATGAATTTATAATTTTGTATAAAAATATATAGATTTTAAAATTTTTCGTATAAACCTATATAAGTTTGTATAAAAATATACAAATTTTGAAAATTTTCATATACAACTACACACAAAAAAATCAATTGAATTTAGTGTGCTTGTTGGTTTAAGCAAAAAAAAATTAAAAATTTGTGTATTTTTAAAATTAGAAGTTAATGTATTTATTTACCAAATTTAAAAAGTTGATATATTTTTTGCAATATTCCCTAAAAAATAGATTTTTTTCAAAAAGAAATATAAAAGATCGATTAAACAAATGTACAAAACACCATTAATTCTATAAAGTTAAACCCAAAAGATAATTAAGAATGACTTTTAAGTTTTATAAAAAAGGCCAATTTACAATATATATATATATATATATAAAGAAAAGAAGTATCGTTATACTGATTTCACATATATTTTTATTTTCTGATTATTCCCCAAATGATTAAATAAGTTATTGGACAAATTTTAAAAATCCAAAAAGAACAATATTTTATTAATTTTATTATCATCTTGACATAATACTATTTGAATTTCTATGAAAATGAAAAATATAAATCATTCAATCACTCACTATTTATTTGATTTTTTTCTTTTCTAATTTCAATTTCACTTATAAAAATTTAATATAAATATCAAATGTTTTTTGGTGGTTGGTATATACGAAAAAACAAAAACAAAATCAAATCTAGTATTACAATAAAATATTTTTCATGTATCTTTTCATAATCAATTAGAATATTTTTATAAAATCTCGATCTAAACAAGAAACTTGATACGTCAAATATTAATGAGAAACCGTTAATTGAATTTGAAATTCTCAATACAATTAGTTGGATTTCATATTACAAACTAAATAGTAGATTGTCGATTGAATGATATCAATTTTGTTTTTTGATAGACGGATTTGAAAAGTACTTGCAAAATTATGTTGAGAACCCTTTGATTTATTATGATAATATTTTAAAATACCTTTTATATCTCATAGTAATATTATAGGATACATAGGTAAAGTCATCAAGGCACATGGTTTCCAATATTTTTGGACCCTATTTTTTAAATTATTTTTTAAAATTAATAATGATTAAAGTTATGAATACAAAATCTGTTATAAATTTAAAAATAAAACATATTAAATTTCGTTAAATTATTATAAGTATTTTATATTGTATTAGTTTTAACATTTTGAAAATATTAGAAGAAAATAAAAATATTTGACAAAAATATAAATAATTTTTAATCAATACATATTTTTTCAAAAATAAATTAATATAGAAGAGTAATCTAAAATTTTATCGAAACGAAGTTAATTTCAATATTTATTACTTTTAATCATATACTTTCTTTTTATGATAAGAAATAATATAATTTATTTTTTACTAATTTTTTATTTATTTATTTTCTTATATAATAAAAAATTATTAATATTTTATTTTCGTTTACAATTCAATTAGAATCTGTTTTAGATAATAAAAATGATTTATAATGATATTTTCAATTAAATTAAGTTTTTTAAAAACTAGTATATATATATATATATTAATAGTCCCTTTATATAGGGTATGTTTTTAATTTCCAATGATTCATAATGTATATAAAAATTACGCTAAAATAGTCTCGTATAGAATTCTCTTTCATTTGTCTTGAATCAGTATTCCACACATAAATGACTTATATTATATATATATATATATATATAATAAAATATTTTTACGTTTAATCGATCGTAATATATAAAAGACGTTATACATCATCACATCGATAATATAGGAATACAATAATAAAAATATAAAATTATGCAAATAGAAATAATCGTCTCACTTTATCCAACCAATTCCTAAGACGTTCGATAATTCAAACCCCGTTAACAAGCAGAATACACCATCTATAATTTATTTATCAAACTATCTATAATTTATTATGATCTTATAGTGGTCATATTGATCATAACATTAAATTTATAATGATTCCATCAATTGATTACTTTGATATGTAAGATATGACCATAGTGATTTAGTGTGATTATTATAAATTTAACGTTATTATTATTATTATTAATGTGACCAACGTATACCTATATTATTATTTTAATCACATAGTCATATTTAGAGAAAGATATTATAGAAATAGTTTTAGCCATCTAATCCCGTTAATTACAAAGGAAATAAGGTGCTATCGCCGTATCGGTATAGGCACAGATGCTTATCCAACAAAATGATAAGTTGCTGGACTTATCCTACTCCTCTTCTCACTCTCTTTCCTTGTGGACTGAACCAGTACCTGTTTTCAAACTAATTCATGCACGGGACTGATTGAAGAACCCTAAAACTGGAGTCTCTCGGTTCTCGTTCTGGCTATCTCCCCATTTCGATTTTCCCGGACCTTTCTCGTGGGTTTTCTTTCCGAGAGAATCGGCTCGTATAGCTACTGCGAGGGATTTGCGAAAACCCTAGATTTCTTGAGTTTAAGGTTGAGGAAAACCTTAGAATTTCTTTTTTGTGTGTTTGTTTGGCACCTGCGGTTCAACGATGATCTTGGACGAGAGGAATCACCAGAATCTCATAATCCTTGTCTTCCAGTTTCTTCACGAAGAGGGCTACAAGGAGAGCTTGCACTTGTACGTTGGAATTAGCCATTCTTCTTCTCTTTTTTTTTTTTAAACCCATTCTTCTTCTCTTGATCTCCGCTTGCTCTTTGTCCGTTTCTGCAATTTTTCTGTGTAGGGTTTATGAATCTTTTGTTTCCCTATTTGAATGGTGGATTACGATTCTACTGCAAACTGGGTTTTTGTTTACTTATTCTGTTGAAATAAGCTCAGAAGATATTTGTCTCTATGATCATCGAGACAATCCATAGCTGATTTTCGTTTAGCTCTAACGCAATGATTTTTTCTTGTTCCAGAAATAAAACATCATGTGAATTAGACGACATATAATGCACTTTCACCTGTTCCTTCTGTTGCGGTATTGCTCTGTCTGTGTTCATATAACTGTCTGATGTGTATGGCTCTCTCTGATATCTTAAAGCTGTGTAGTGTTGCTTTGTATGTTTTCATATAGATTTCTGATATGTATGGCTCTTTCTGATATCTTAAAGCCGTGTGGTGATCTAATGGTAGACCTAATGGCTTCTACAGCAAATGAAAGAGCTAATCACTAGTAAGAACCTAGTTCTATAGAGATGCGAGTGAACAAGCATTAAGGAGCCGATAGGCTGCTTTTATAGGTTACAGCATTATGCCTAATATAAATTACTTGTTTGTTGAAGTCAGAATGAGGGCCAATGTGATAAGAAATTCAGGAGAGTGGGCATTACGGAATCTGCATATAGAGTTGAAATTTGTGAGTGCATTGACATTCAATGATTCTGAATTCCCACTAGACCTCACATTTTGAAGATATCTAATGAGTGGCTAAATTCCTTGATTTTGCTCTTGCATGTCCCATTTCCATATCTTTGTATCGATTGATATTAACATTTCTGGCACATGATTCTGAATTCCCACTAGACCTCACATTTTGAAGATATCTAATGAGTGGCTAAATTCCTTAATTTTCCTCTTGCATGTCCCATTTCCATGTCTTTGTATCGATAGATATTAACATTTCTGGCACTGTTTCACCCCTGAGTGATAGAATAACTTCTATGCGATAAAACAATTCAAGCCTTGCAGATTAAAAAATGGAAACTTTTTGTTTTATCAGAAGGGAACAAAAGAAGAAATAGGAGAGCTTAAGTTATCATCGTGCATAAAGATCTAGCTACTGGGCATACAATATTTCTTTGTATCCATTTTTCCTTTCTGACACTTTGACAGTTTGGTTTAAAATCAAATATTCAACTTAGACTTTGGTCCATTGTGAAGATTTTTTTTTTCAATCGGTGTGTTGTGAAGATTTTAAAAGCAAAGAGGAAAGTTATTTATAGGCATCTGGACTCGGTTCTCTGTTTGATTCAAGCCTCATGGTTCTACCTAATTTGCATGCTCTGTTTCGATGAAGACTGGAGCAGGAGTCCAGGATTTTCTTCAATTTCCACTACTTTTCTGAAGTTATCAGCAGTGGAAACTGGGAAGAGGCAGAAAAGTACCTTTCAGCATTCACTAGTCCAAATGAAAATACGCACTCAAGAAAGATGTTCTACGAGTTGTACAAATGGAAATATTATGAGGCATCAGACAGGTAAGCACAGAATTCCTTTCTCACAATTCGCACACTGCCCTTCTTTTTGTGTCTGAATCATCTTTTATGGTCCGGGGTTAAGGCCAGGAAGTTATACTCTTCTCACAATTTACATTCAGATCTTTTTGTTGAAGCAAGAAGAACTAATAATGGTTTGTGTATATCTTGGTCCTCTTCTCAACATTTTGAAGAGTAGTCGGTTTCTTGTGCCATTAACAGAACTATAAGTTGCTTTTTATCTGAATAATTTCCTTTTTAACAAAACTAAGCATTCTTTGTTAATATATATATATATATGTATATATATATATATATATATATATATATATATTTCTTTGCTGTTTTTTGTGTTCTCCTTTGTAGAAGCGATGGTTCGGAATCTGTGAACATTCTCTGGAAGGATTTGAGAAGAATTCCTGTTTTCCCTGACGATGGTTTCGACGATTTGGTTGAGATGATTGCCTTAGAGGACATAAGGCAAGGCTTAAGAATCCAGATAGATTATCCGGTAATACGTTATTTTGCCTGTATTCTGATATCTCAAAACTTTTGGCGGTGGCTGTCTTGTAGAGTGAAAGAGCAACCTTGCTGCATGGACAAAGCGTCTACTAGAAACAAATTGTGTGGTGATATGAAGATTTTAGCACACAGCAATCCTTGTTTACGTAATAAACTTGTCCTTCCCTACTTAAATAAATCTGCACTGCTGTCGCTTATCTTCCTCCTCTGTCCCAATCGTAATGGAGGAAAAAGAAATCTGAAGGTAAGATGTGTATTTCTATGTTATCTTAGTTCCTGAGTTGGAAGTACTTTGAACATATTTCTGAGTTGGTTCCTTGAGGTCGTTATTATGTATCTTCTGCATTCATTAGCCCTGTCCTTGTTACTGATCTGTGAGTTTCTTTTAGGAGGATCTTATCTGCTTGATCCTTCAGTTCCTCTATGAAGAGAAATTCAAGAATGCATTGCACAAGTAAGCATCTTTGTGGATATTTTATGATTTCGGATTCATCTTCCTTTTTTACTGATTTAAACATCCTTTCTTGAAGATTAGAGGAAGAAACTAAAGTCTTCTTCAATATGAATTATCTTGTGGAGTTAATGATTCTCGGTCAACTGGGCAAGGCTGAAGAGTACCTAATGGCCTTTACAGACCCAGATCAGAATAAGCACTCCAAGGCAATGTTTCTTGAAATTCAGAAGCTAAAATACCTAGAATCCAAAAAAAGGTTGGTTAAGATTCAATATATTGGATTTCCTACTCATTAAATAATATATATAGCCGTCTATGTACATATATGTGCTCATTTCACTTTGAGAACCCGAACATCTGATATCATTGTTCTCTTGTTGAAGTGAAAGGAAACTGATAGACTCCTAAAATAATTAGGTTTTTTTTTATGGTTATGAGTTATAAGTGGGCAGCTATTTTGCTCATTAGTATCCCATCTAGGGTTCTATCAGTTGGTGTCAGAATTTGGTTTCCAGGTACAAAGATGAGATTCTATCGTGAAAATAAGAAATAAAAGGGTTTTTGCCCCGAGACCAGCATATTTGAGACGTTCTAAGGGAACTTCGACTTCTAAGTTTTTCTTTGATCAATTCTCCTATGCCTTTATTGAATAATGGGAATGCCTATAGATAGGCTCTAAGCCCACTCATAACTCAACCATTAAAAAAAGCTAATTAAACCTAATTACTTTAGGATTATCAGAAGCATATATGACATGTACTAGTTATGACACACACACACACACACATACATATATATATACATATATATATATATATATATATATATATATATTTCTAACGTCGTGTTTTCAGCCAATTTCGATTCTCTCTGATGCAATTTCCTACTGCAGGGAGGATAATGAACCATCTGAATATCTCGATACCATGGTGCTAAGTGCACAACTACGTACCTCTGTTGCCTTGCTTGCGAAGAAAAATCCAGCATTAAGAGATAAACTCAGATTCCCTAGGATGGATAAATCAAGACTTTTAACTCTGATGAAGCAGATGTAAGCCAGCCAAGGAAGTAATGCTTTTATACCGCCGAGCGCAATTCAGATGTGTAGTTTGTTCTTCTGATATCGACTTTCTTCTTCTCCTGCAGTATGGATTGGTGGGTTCCCTGTATCAAAGTGTTCACTCGTGAGTGCAACAACACTATCTCTCTGGAAAATGTTCCTGTAGTGTCATACCTTTGCGAACCACCATCCCCGGTGAACAACACATTCAACGAGATGGGGCCAGGTAACGAGGGTGTTGACCATGAACTCAAGGAAATCAATGATCCATCTCAATGCAAGTCACTGCTTCTCCCTGATTGTTGCTCTGGAAAAAGGGTATGAATTGTTGTCTAATTTGGCATATTCTTCTCATTTCTGGACTTTTATTCTGCATTTTAATTTCTGTTTAGAATGATTAAAGAATGTTAATTTCATTAAATTTTTTCTCCCATACCTGTGACTGCTGAGCTTTGATCAATTTTGTTGATCATATGCTAGATTACACGTTTGACCTACTCACCTTCTGGAGATTATATACTGGCTCTGGCAGAAGATGGCTCCCATCGACTCTGGACATGGTGGAGTAGCCAAAGTGAATCCTGCAAGGTTAGCCCCCAGATGTTAATGTCATTTCTATTCTCGGTTTCTGCACTGCCCTCATGAGTTTCGACGGACAAAATGAGATACCAACTTCTTTATATTTCTATACTTTGCCTTCTTCTTCAAATTGGTTTGCGTTTTGTAGGCAAATGGACATCCAGAGCCATGTCTATATCAACCTCCAGGCAGAAAAACTATGAAAAACGAGATACCCACCTCTGTTCAAAACCCCGTTTCTTGTTTTGCCATCAAGGGTTCATATCTTTTCTCTGCTTCGGGAGGAAGAATTTCAGTCTTTGATCTAAAGAGTTTTGAGGTAACAAGCATATTAGTGTTTACAAGATCTCGAGATCCTGCTATATGCTGACACTGTTTGCTCCGAAAAACTGCAGAGGGTATCTATTTTCGGGAGCCCTCCACCTGCAGCTACGTATTTCATATTCATTCCTGAAGATATTCTCGCTATCGGGCTAGATGATGGTTCGATCTTGATCCATTGTTTATCATCACAAAAGGTGGCTCCTTTATTCTCATGGCCATGGCCCTTGGTTCGTGAAAAAAGGGATCTTTACCCTGTTTTTGTGTTGCAATGCAAAAAAGGTGAAAGCCAAGCTTGAAGGCCATGAACAGAGGATAACTTGCTTAGCATTTTCGCTCTGTTTTAATGTCCTGATCTCATCTGGGGCTGATGGTCAGGTACAAAGCATTAGCCTGTAGACATGTATATTTGGCTCTCGGGATTCATATTAATACACAGGATAATCTTTGCTTATGCAGCTCTGTGTATGGAGCAGAAAAGATTGGACAAAGCTAAGAAGTGACTTCTTAAGTGGTCTTTGCAGTCAGCATCATCATCTCCATGATTCCGCCATTGTTATCCAGTTTGACCCTTATCAGATCCACATCCTTGTTGTGCTCGAGAGGTGGATCGGTATATATGAAGCTCCATTTCTTGATTGCCTTGTTCAGGTAGATGCCAAAACTCTTTCGATAATTTTGTCCAACCGGTATCCCGAGGGTAATCTTATTAACTCGAAAGGAATCTGAATCTTTTCGCAGTGGGTGCCGAAAAAATCTGATACTCCGATATGTACGGCTATGTATTCATCTGATGGAGACGTCATCTACGTTGGATTCAGAAGCGGATGCATAAAAGTTGTCGACTCTAAGACCCTGCAGACGATAACTCGGGTTAACCCTACTGTTTATTCTCCTCCCAGCAACTCCAGGTACAGTTTTCTTCTCTTCTCCTCTCCCATTGGCTTTGGTTATTCCACAGGTACAGTCAATTGACCAACGAAACTCGAACTCGAACCCGTGGCTCGGGTTTCCGGACCCACTTGTAAATCAATGGGATGGATTTTATAAAATTTTAAATAAAATTGTGAAATACGACATAGTAAATGTCTCTATAGCAAAACTATTGTTCCGATTATAAATTTTTTTGGATCTGTTACTGTCCGACCTTATACTTCCAAATGTCGGGAGGACGAATACCCATGGCCGCGCGCTTCGACGGATACTAGGATTCAAAATTTTAAATAGTTGCACTCTATACGGTCCATGGTTGCCAATGGGTTCTGATCGATGATATTGACGAGACAGGTTCGAAGTTTACCCCGTGGTTGTGGCCGGCCATCCGTCAGGACCGAACCAGATCGCTGTAGGACTTAGCAATGGCTGCGTCCACGTCATCGAGCCGGGGCGTTCGAGAGGTGAAAGGTTTGGTGAAAGGTCTCTACCCGAAGACAGCCAAACACTAGGAGGGTGACTTTTTTTTTTGTCTATATTTTTGTATGTATGATGCAAAATATCATGACATAAATATTCATAGAATAGTACTAATTTTAAAATATGTATTCATCCCTACATCATTGGTCGGTCGTAACAAACATAAAAAACAAAATGCTGGATTTATCATATAAAAAATATTAAAGGAAAAGGGGTCAGAATTTATTTTTACTCGAAACGAAAAATTAAATAAAATAAGGGACATAAATACATCCACCGATGACCATCCGACAAGCAGAGGGCTCCCGACACTATCCTTTGTGAGATCAACGGTTCATATATGTCCACGTCACCACCTGGCTCCAACTCTCCTCTTAAATCCACCGTTCCTTTTTCCCTCTCTCACTCCTTGAGCTACCTTCCTTGTATTCGTTCGGCGAATCTTCACTGTCAACGTGTCGGTTTGAGATCTTCTCCTTCTTCCTCTTCGTCGATCTCAGATCCTGTCTCCGCCGTTCTCGCGGTAGAGAGATTAACTCGACCGATCTGTCTCTTGAGAGTAAGAGTTCTCCCGATCTGACGCCGTTTTCGTGGTCTCTTTTCCCGTAGATCTAGCGAAGCAATTCTCGCAGATTTTCCCAACGGTAATTTCTAAAATTAGCACCCGGAAATGAAAAAATCGGGTGATTTCGAATTTGTTTCCGCTTTGGAACGTTATTGATTTGATTGAACTCGAATCTCCTGCGAAACTTCGTTTGCTCCGTCTGGGTTTTCAGTAAAAACTCGAATTTTCTCAAACTATTTGTTGTTATTCTTTTGATCGGTGAAAGAGTGGTTTGTCGAAGATGGCGCCGAGCATACGGAAAGCGATCGGAGCGGTTAAGGACCAGACGAGCATCGGGATCGCCAAAGTGGCGAGCAACATGGCTCCGGATCTGGAGGTCGCCATCGTGAAGGCGACGAGCCACGACGACGACCCGGCGAGCGAAAAGTACATCCGCGAGATCCTCCACCTCACCTCCATGTCACGCGGCTACGTCCACGCCTGCGTCACCGCCGTCTCCCGCCGATTGGGGAAGACCCGCGACTGGTTCGTCGCCCTCAAGGCCCTCATGCTCGTTCACCGCCTCCTCAACGAAGGAGACCCTCAGTTCCAGGAGGAGATTCTCTACACCACCAGACGAGGTACGAGGATGCTTAACTTGTCTGATTTCCGGGATGAGGCGCATTCGAGTTCCTGGGATCACTCGGCTTTTGTTAGGACTTATGCTAGTTACTTGGATCAGAGGCTTGAATTGGTTCTTTTCGAGAGGAAGAGTGGAGGGCCTGTGAACAATGGCGGTAGTAGTAGCCGTCATAGTAATGGGGATGGTCAGGCTAGGGACGATTTCAGGTCGCCGCCTCCTAGGTCTTATGACTATGAGTCCGGTGACTTCAGGGGTGATAATGGCTATGGTGGTAGCAGTCATGGTGTGCCTAGGAGGACTCGGTCTTATGGAGATATGAGTGAGATGGGCGGAGGGAGAGATGAGAAGAAAACATCGGCTACACCTCTGAGGGAAATGACGCCCGAGAGGATTTTTGGAAAGATGGGTCACTTGCAAAGGCTGCTTGATCGATTCCTGTCATGTCGACCTACCGGTTTAGCGAAGAACAGCAGAATGATCTTGATCGCTCTGTACCCTGTTGTGAGGGAGAGTTTTAAGCTATACGCTGATATCTGTGAGGTCTTGGCTGTATTGCTTGACAAGTTTTTCGATATGGAGTACATGGACTGTGTCAAGGCTTTCGATGCTTATGCCAGTGCAGCGAAACAAATCGATGAGCTCATATCATTTTATTATTGGTGCAAGGACACCGGTGTGGCGAGATCATCTGAGTACCCAGAAGTCCAGAGAATCACGAGCAAGTTGTTGGAGACACTGGAAGAGTTTGTGAGAGATAGAGCTAAGAGGCCCAAAAGTCCGGAGAGGAAGGAAATAGAAGCTCCTCCTCCAGTTCCTCAAGAGGAGGAGCCAGTGCCTGATATGAACGAGATCAAGGCTCTTCCTCCTCCAGAGAGCCACACTCCACCGCCTGAACCAGAACCTGTACCTCAAAAACCACAAGTGACTGATGATTTAGTTAACTTGAGGGATGACGACGTTTCTGCTGATGACCAAGGTAACAAGTTTGCGCTGGCTCTGTTTGCGGGTCCCCCGGGGAGTAATGGTAAATGGGAAGGTTTCAATTCTAATGGAGATAATGGTGTGACCTCGGCTTGGCAGAATCCTGCAGCTGAGCCCGGGAAGGCGGATTGGGAGTTAGCCCTGGTTGAAACCGCTAGTAACCTGGAGAAACAGAAAGCTGCATTGGGCGGTGGCTTTGACCCATTGTTGCTAAATGGAATGTATGATCAAGGAATGGTTAGGCAACATACGAGCACCACACAACTGACCGGTGGCAGTGCCAGCAGCGTGGCCTTGCCCTTACCGGGTAAAACCAACAGTCAAGTTCTGGCCCTCCCTGCTCCCGATGGAACTGTCCAGAAAGTAAACGAAGATCCATTTGCAGCTTCTCTCACCGTCCCACCTCCTTCGTACGTGCAAATGGCGGAAATGGAGAAGAAGCAGAACTTGTTGGTTCAGGAGCAACAGCTATGGCATCAATACCAGCACGACGGGATGAGAGGCCAGGCTAGTCTGGCCAAGATCAGCACTGGTCCAGTCCCACCGGCCATGCCTTACGGAATGCCACCGGTCTATGGAATGGGAGCTCAACCAACAGGGTACTACTACCAAAACCCTTACTGATTCATTCATTTCACTTGCTCTGTTTCACTCTCTTTTTTTGTCAACTCCTATATATGTAGATGACTCGTCTTCACCTGATATCTGTGTGTTATCTCTGTATTCCCGATTGTTTGAAGAGACACCATCTCCATTCCTCTCAAAGCTGTGAACTCTGTCCTCATCTTTGAGCTCAATAGTTTTGGAATTCATTGGTCCTCTTTTGATGTTTATTTGCTATTCTTATGTGATGTGTTTGTATTTTTTTTTTTGGCATGCTAACTCTTCTATGGTTTGAGCAGACAAGAATTTTGTGTTTGGGATTTAGGGTTTTTGTTGAGCAAACAGAGAATTTAGGGTTTAGGGTTTTGGTTAGTTGAGGTGTCCAAATCAGACAGGTGAAGAGATGGTTCTAATAGCTGTTCTCCGAAGAAAGGACTTTGTCAATGAGGTTGTCCTTTTATTTTCTCTGCCAACTTTGGTCATCGATTTTGTGTGAATAAAATTGCAATAAACAAAAACTGCATAATTCCCATGCGGCATTTATTTTTAGTACTTTTTTTATCTCTTAAACTTATATTTTTATTTTTTTAATTGTTGAATTTAATTAGGTAAATTCGTATTTAAGATGAAGCCTGATGTTTGGGTTCAATGTCTTGGAATTCGTTTTTTATTTGACAAGTTTGGATATTCTAGTTTCGGATGGTATTTAAACACATATTTAGATATATATATATATATATATGTGTTTTAAAATCTGAACTTTTCTTTTTTTTTATTAAAATTTTATTTTCGATCTAAATATTCAGATATTAAAAATATGTAAAGACGTTTTTTTTGCTTTGAAGTTAAAACTTTTAATTATAATATCAGATAAAAGATGAGTGATGTTTTAATTATTTTTATATCTGTTTAATTATATGAATATCTTATCATAGATTAGTAAAATCAAATCCTGATTCGAATATCCAGTTTTGATAAAATTGAAATCTGAATTCAAATCCTAAGAGAAAATAGAAATAGGAGATAGACTATTAACTTTAGACGTGAATTCAAAAACTAAATATGGATAAAATCTTGATTGGAGCATATCTAAATTACAACTTGGGGATAAGGATACGTATTGAATAATGGAGATGTTATATAGCAAAAAATGCAAGCTGGCGCATGATAATGACCCCCTTGTTATCATAAGCACCAGTGTATAATCCAGCTGTCTTCTTCCTTCCTATGAAAATAGATTGCCGATTTACAAAATAAAATAAAATAATTAGGACTTAAAATTAAAATTAAAATTGAAAGAAAAAATAGTATACAATAAAAAAAAAATGGAATGATTGAACACTCACTTCGTATTAAAAAAATTAATCAGAATTTATTGTAACTTCAATGGAAACGACCAATTTACGTATTCACGATGACACTAAAATAGGTGTCCATGAATCGGTTCTTGGATGGAATCGTTATTTTCTAAAAAAATCAATTTGAAAAAACTATATCCCTTTTTTTTTATGTTAGTTTTAGTTAATTTTTATTAATATAAATTCTTTTTCTAAAAAATAGCTTTTTGTTCAGTTTGTTCAATTATTTTTATATATTTGATTTCATTCAAATTTGTTTATTTTATTAAAATAAATTCAAATCTAATTAATTAATTTTAGATCAGATTTCATTCAAATAAGGTTATTTTCATTTTAATTGATTTGATATTATTTTATGTTATATAATCGGAAGGAAATAAACATCATTCTACGGGGGGGGGGGAAAGAGATGCAAGGTAGAAAATGGGCCCAATGGGCTTAATGAGGAGATAATTCGGTTCCACATAATGGGCCTTCTGTATTTCAATTAAGCCTATCTTATTTTCACTTGGGTCTAAATAGTCTTTCTCCATTGTACGTTTCGGTGCGGATTTAAATCCAAAATGGTTGGATTTGATTCTTTCGTTTGTATAAAATATATATCAATTGGGTATTACATTCTTGGTTTTGATGTTGGTTTTTATTTAAAAAAAAATAGATTTTGTTAAAAACATTTAGTTTTTTGAATTTTTTAAAAATTTGATTCGATTAAATTCGGTTTTGAAAATTTTGATTTTTCTAAAATTAATATCATTAGAAAATTTTAGGTGATTCGGATTGAAAAAATATCTTATTTTTTCGGTTCGATTCTTCGAAACCGAAATAAAACGCTCATCCCTAATTAAAATGATTGTTAACATTTTATTTATTAATTATTTATTTTTATCACAATGAATTTTTTATATTTTTTTGATAAAGTATATCGCAATGAATTTCTAAAATAATATCGTCCATTTATTAAAACAATAGTAGTAATGAAAATAAAGACTGTTTTTAATGTAAGTCGCACTAATAGTAAATACTAACTTTAGTTATTATTAAAGTTTTATGTCAGTCTCAATCTGTTTTTTTTTATTCCTACTGTGAGTTCCCGTGATTTATGACGGCTCATGGATTCCTACGTGGAAGAATATAAACCGTTGGATGTGATGTGATGACATCACATAATGGGCGTGACTTCCTGCGAGAGCGTGGCGACCATGCATAGGGTTTGGGCCATGAACTGGGCCTTGGGATAAACAATCTTTGGGCCCTTATTTTTATCGTTCCCATAAATATTTTTAATTTAATACGTAATAATCTTAATTTTCGTGATATTATATAGTCAAGCATCCATGTCATTTACTCGCGTTTTCTAAATCGAAGGATATAACTAAACTTATATTATACAATTTATAAATGTAAAAACTATAAATAAAATACAAGAACTTAACGAGATTTGGTTTTGATTTTTTCGAACTTCATTGAAATTTCTAAATACTACTCTTATAAATCTTAAAATATTCTGAATTTTTAAGAGTGATATTCGTATAAAGAATTTGGAGCATGTGTTTTACCAATCCAAACACACGTGTTCAAATGGAAAATTTATTCTCCTAAGAATTTAATATTGTATCTCATCCTACTTTTATAATTTCATTACAGATTAATATCATCTATATATTTATTTTATCTAGAATACAATCTTGATTTCAATTCTCGTCAAGTCAAGTCCATTTCTTGTGAAATTCAATCTATTTGAATTATTATTAGCAATATATATATATATATATATATATGTCGACGTTGAATATATATATATATATATATATATATATAATATAATATAATCTGAGTTGGGAAAAAGCAAAGGGAGAGGTCAGGGTTCGCTTTGGATGTCTCCGACAGTGACCATATCGCCTCAGTGCCCCACTTCTCTGTGTCCTGTTTTCCCAATATTTTTGTGTCTTAGAAATTATAATTTATGAAAAAAAAATTATAAACACAACACAACTAAAAGTTCGAATCGAATTGCTGAATTAATCGATTTAAAATCCTAAGAACTGATAAAAAGTGAACTTGTTTCGATCTTGATAAACCCAATTCAAAAATATAAAATATAATATGATAAATTATTTTTTTCTATATATTCTTCAAATAAACACAAAGTTCTTCGATCTGTCTATTCAACGCTCCTTTTCTGTCATTGTTGGAATTGTCGCTTACATCGAAGTCTTCACTCTCGATTGGTCCAACACCATAAATCTCACCTCTCAGACATGCATACATTATATGGAATTATATTCTCTATTTTATTTCATTTTTAATATAAAAAATCCCTAGCATGGATATTATTTGTGTACTCACGTATAGAGATCGTCCTTTTAGGATTCGATTCAGAATTTTAGTCGTTCGATTTGAAAACTGTTTATTCGGTATTTTAAAATTTATACCAAATTAGTACCGTATATTATTCGGTTTACTTCCATTTTTTGTTAAAAATTTAGATTTTTTTAGATTTTCTATTTTTTTTTAAGAAAATTTTGATTTTTTCAAGAAAGTTCAGTTTAATTTCGAGAAATTCAGTTTATTTATAAAAAAAAATATATCATTCGAAAATTTTGAATGGTACAATTCAAAAAAAATATTGAAAATTTCGATTTGGTACAGTTCGATTCCAAAAAATTAAAACGAAACGTCCAACCCTACTTTTGAATGGCCCGAGTAAACTCTTATTGTTAATCTGATTTTTGTTATCATTGATAATACATATCTCATTAACATAAAATAACTTTACCAAAGGATAGTCTAGTGATCAATTTGAGAATGTAATACACTTCAAGGTTGGATGTTCGAGTACACTTGGTGGGAAGAGACATAATTTCTAGATCAATAAAGCCTATACATAAAGATTGGTCTTATAACGGAGCTTTATACCGTCAATGTATTTGAAGGATAGCAGCTAAGTGCTCTGTTACAAAAAAATATATATATATATAAAATGAAATAAGTGAGTTTATTTTTTGAAAATCGTCAAAAACGGTTAGGTGTGCTTTCGAAAATTCGTTGCAGTAAAAATAATTTTAAAATTGGGGTTTAGTTGTTTAAAAGAGTTGTTTTTACTATTATAAGGTGAAATTTTACAAATAATATATTTTTAAAGATAAATAAGATTTCATCCATCATATAATGTGTTTTACTTTTTACATAATAAATAAAATAAAACCAAGAAAGAAAAAAAAAAGAAGCTATGTGGATGAGGCCTGAGGGTGGGGGGACACCATCTCTCTCTCTCTCTTCCCCTCACTCAATCACCCTTCTTTTTCCTCTGCTTTTTCCAACATTTTCTTCCCCCTCTCTCCCTTCGTTTTCTCTCATATAATATCTGAATTTATGTCTCAGCAAATGAAAAAAAAAAAGTGAACTTTGTTGGAACTGAAAAAGAAGTGTAGATTCGAGGGGGAGATGGGCCTTGAAATCAGCGATTCTTGTGCTTATAATGTCATTGTAAGTTGGTAGCACAGCAAAGGAAAAGTCCTCTCTCTCCCTCCCTCCCTCCCTCCCTCTGTGGAATTATTGAGTTCTGAAGCTACGGAAGAGAAATAGTGTCCATTCTACATCTCCCTCTGTGAACAGTTCTTGTGTTGGTTTCTCTCCAAATCTCTCTCCCTCACTCTGTGGATCGAGATGCCAAGACCAGGGCCAAGACCGTACGAGTGCATAAGGAGAGTCTGGCACAGTGACAGACACCAACCCATGAGAGGTTTGCTCATCCAAGAGATTTTCAGGTCTGTCTTCATCTGATCCTTCTGGGTTTTTGCTTCAGTTGTCTCCATTCTAAATCCTGGGTTTTTTTTGTTTGTTTGTTTAGGATTGTCTGTGAGATTCACAGTCCAGCAACCAAGAAGAACAAGGAATGGCAAGAGAAGCTCCCTGTCGTCGTCTTGAAAGCTGAAGAAATCATGTATTCCAAAGCCAACTCTGAGGTATGATTCCACTTGTGGTTTTAGGTCAAAATTTTGGATTTTTTTCCGGTCTTTTTGCAATTTCCAGTACATTAGCATTGATCAAACAGAGTATTCATTTAATTTTACTTCAAATTTGCTCCAAAGTCAGAAAATTTACTCTCTTTGATGGGTGCTGCATTTATGTTCTACTGAGAACAAAGGGACCAGTCCTTGTATCTTTCTTCTTGAATTTGGTTCTGCTTCTCTCTGTACCCATTTGCTATCTTTAGGTTTTTCAAAAACATTTCTTGATTTCAGACCGAGTATATTGACATGAATACCCTCTTGGACCGCACAACTGACGCCATTAACACCATAATCCGACTTGATGAGACCACTGAAACCGGAGAATATCTTCAACCTTGCATTGAAGGTATATCCAAATTTCCTCAGTTTAAATGTCTGCAATCACATTGTGTTTAGCTTTTTAAAGTTCCGGGTTTTTTCCTTAGCTGCTTTGCATTTGGGCTGCACGCCACGGAGAGCTTCGAGGAGCCAACGGAACATAGACCCGAGGTGTTACCTTAGACAAGAACCGAATAGCTTAAACACCATGTCTCAGTACCATATCCTCATGAAATCCCCCGGGGCACTATTGACGAAACCCATTGCCCAAGCCAACCCCTTTTCTCCAAAGAACTTCCCTTTCACGTTTCATAACGAGAATCTCGGGTCATCCAAAGTTAACCACGCTCAAAAGTACTCGTCCTACCCGTTATGCTATTCATTCCGGGTCCCTTCTCCGATCTCTAATGTGGTCCGTGGCTCATCCAAGTTCAGTTCCCATTTCAAGAACAAATCGGTCAGTGTGGATAATACTACTCAGGAGGACATGACCTTTGGTGGGTGTGATTTATCCTTGCGGTTAGGCCCTTTTGGAGATGCCGGGTCTCCTACTCGTAAACGGAGTAAACTAGCCGACCCAAAAGCCGCATTGTGCTGCACAAGCGACATAAACTTGCCTGTGAGCTCGTTTTCAGGTCAATGGATAAAGAAGGATGAGTTTGTGAACATGAATGCATCATCGACAACAATAACAACAGGAAAGACTGCAGTTCCAGCTCAAGCCATCGATGACCCGAGAATTTCTTGGATGGTACGAGCTTCACCGACTTGACTCACTCAGGCTACGTTTTGAGAAGTGTGTTGTTTGCTTAGGATGTGTGTTGCATTATTACCTCAGTTCTGGATTAGCTCTGTGTGTGTTTGTGTTATTGAGTACTTGGTAGTTGTAGCAATTTGTCTCTTCTTCTGGTAGGTTTAGATGTTATGAAGCTGTAAATATGGAACTAACCGGTCATGTAATGAACACGTTTGGTCGGAAATATGATGAGCAATTTGCCAAAAAGCCTTTAAAAGTTCTTCTCCAAGTCCATTTCACATGAGTTTGAGCTTCTTTTTTTTGGCGCATTTGGGGTACAAATCCCATCCATTTCGTTGTAAACAAGCAAAAGGGGGATATATTTTTGTGAAAAGACAAAAGGGAAAAGACAAAGAGTGGAGGAAAGAGTTCTGGGTTTCAAAGTGGGGGACAATGGATAAGCCTTTGGGAGAGCTTTGTTGTTGCACTTTATTACTTCTTTGGGTTTAAGCTAAGTGATGGGTCTCTCGCTCTCTCTCAACTTTCTTGTTTTGCTTTTCTTTGATTTGAGTTTTGCTTTAAAGACATGACAAGAAACTAAACAAGTCCTCCTCCCCATTTGTTGGGTCGCACTTTTTGGAGATAGATGATCATATTTGCTTAGTTCTAATTCAAAATAAAACTTGGAGATTCATCACAGCATGACAAAAGGCTGCAGTCAGGGTAAATTCAGATAATGTAGAGGATTATTGCAACCTAAGTACTGATTAGAAGAGGTCCTAATCCTAATAACACCAAAAGAGAGATGAAGGAGATGATTTCTCGCTTCATCAGCAATTTCTGATAATCCCATTGAGACTGAAATGACATTAAACAAAAGAATACTCTAATCAGTCGACAAAATATGATGCAAATCGAACTGAAGCTTCTGATGAAGATGAGAGACATCGAGAACTGTCCCTTTCTTCTCCGCCGCCGCAAGCTCCGTCAACGGAATCTCCGCAAGAAACCTCTTTATGTACTCTCTGCAACATTCTTTTCCTCTCAAAACCAATGTCTCTTCTTCTTCTTCTTCTTCTTCTTCTTCTTCTTCAGATTCCGACTTTTTCTTCTTCTTCTTCTTCTCGTACATCAAGCTCCAGTCGTCGAACATCAAAATGTAAGCTTGCTTGCACCCTTCGAACAATCTCTCCCCCAACGAATCGATTATGAAATACCCATCATGATCTGCTCTCATCACGAAGAAATGATCGTTCCAGCTCAAGATATAAACCCTAGATTCTCCACGATCGAGCCCAGCTACGTGTTTCTCAATCTCGTCCCAGATATCATCGAACGACAACAGACCCTTCAACGAATCGAACTTCTCCGGGCTGAAAACCCCCGTCAAAGATTTATCCGAGCAAACCCTAACGGGCCGGAGATTCGCGGAGACGATCGTCTCCAGGTCAAAATGCTTGTCCGGGAACAATCTCATATACGATTTGTCGTTGCAGAGAGATCGCCACAGCCAAGAGCCCTGTGAGATGATCGAATCGAACTCGGGTCCCGAAGGAGAGCGATTAGGGTTCGACCGGAGCCAATGGGCCATCACCACCGCGACCACCGCGCACGCGGCTTCTCCGCCGGCTTGTTCGCTTCGCTGGTCGAGCGACGCGAAGAACACTTGTGATCGGAGCTTGAATTTCCCGTCTCGGCTCATCAGATCCTTCTTCTCCCATTTTTTCGTTGCTACTGCTGAAATCTTTGTTCCTTCGTCCCCTCTCTGCACAACAAAATTGTGAGAGAGAAAACCGGTTCCGGTTAGCGTTCAAACCAAACCGATGGTATGAATTAACCTAATAAATTCCGGTTTAAGGTAGTATGGGTTTATATTCGAGCTCAAAAACGTGAATTGGAAGAAGAATCATTGTAAAATTCGGATTGAAGTTTCACCTTACATACTATTGGAATAAACAGATGGCTTATGCGAACTAAATACATATTCGATCACCGAAAATATTACCGATTCTCGTTTGCGGGACATGGAAAAGCTTAACCGGCGTCTCTTCCACGAAAAAAACCCCGGTTTGTTTCCGGGTTCGGGCCGAGACTCGGAACTCGACGACGAGCCGGATTCCACATCAAGGCTGAGTCCAACGGAACTTGACTCGGTGGCCGACGAGGAAGAAGACTCAGAATTGTAGTACACCATCGTTTCCGAGTCGAGCGAGTTTTGAGCGAGTCGTACCGTGTCAGTTTCGTTTCTTACTTCGGAAAAGGTCACAGAGACCTGGTTAAATAAACAAACACATGTCCTAATTGGTTTTGGATTAGATTTTATAATCCAATAAAAAAAAAGGACAGTTTAGCAACTTTCGCGCGTGTTTACCATGTTATTTTATAGGAATTATAAAGAGAGAGAAAAAAAAGTACATGAAATTCCAAGAATTATCACGAGATCATAATTTAAACGTAATTAAAAAACTAATTGCTAGGCATACCACGAGATTAAATTCCTTGGTTGTGCCGGAACCCTCTGAATGTATCGGAATCTTTCTCTCAACCTTCGATTCAATCTTCGACGCTAACTCCGCTAAATCCAACGACGCTTTTCCGATCACGCATTTTCTGTTCTTCGTGTCTATGTTCTCTCCCTAATCTCAAGCAAAGATTAATCACTAATCAAAACACTAATCACAATTAAGAGGGGTTAAGACTAAGAAACTCACGTAGAAGATATTGAAGGTCAAATTCCACGGCCCGACAAGGCAACAGATACGTTCGAACTCGTCGTCCCATTCCACGTGGCCACCGCCCACAACCGGTTTAATGCTAGTCCGGTTTATGCGACGGTTCGACCGGTAAAACGGGAGTAAACCGAATCCGAAACCGGTGACCGGTCCTTTCCATTTGATCTCTGTCATCGCCGACGACGTTATGTCACCGGAAAGAGCGGGTAAACCCTCTAACCTCACCGGCTTCACCGTCACGTGAAGCTTCTTCACCTTCTTCGCCATTGGAATGATTCTCCTCCTCTTCCTTCTTCTTGGGTTTTTTTCTTCTTCTTTTTTTGGATGGTAAAATGAAACAGCTGTATTCTGCATATATATGCGAATCTATATATGGGTGTGCGTGTATGTATATACAGGTGTATGCCTTCTAATTAAGGCAAAGAAAACGTAGAAGAGCATTTTAAAAAGTGAATATACGACAAAACCCCCCAAAGATCGACTCCGTCGTGTCTGAACTCTCTGGCTCAATCCCGCGTCACAAGACATGGCAATGAGAAGAAAGAATATCATGTGCGGAACACGTGATTGCTTTTCCCCCTCGGGTGTTTCGTTGAGCTGTCGCATTTTTATTGGATAATTTATGTCGTGCCTTAATATTTAATTATTTGGAATAGAATTTAACATCCAATTTTTACAAGGCAAGAGAAACTGAATTCTGAATGCTTCGCCTAATCTTAGGCTTCTTAGCTAAGATTTGGTACTCCTTTTGTTTTATATATATATATATATATATTAAAGATGGAAATTTGGAGAGAGGTTGAATTTGGCATCACCCAAAAGGATCTCAAACTATTATCATAATGTCAATAAACTCCATAACTCATAGAATACAATAAAAATACATTTTCTAGCCCACAGAGAAACTAGACCTTTTAGTTGTTTTTAGTTTGCATTTTATTGTATTTATTTGAATAATTAAGATAATAGACTTCTATTTAAAAATAATAATAAGAGACTTCTGTTTTTTTTTTCAAAGTCAAGAGTAAGACGTTTAGGTTTCTCTTAATATCAAAATGATAATTGCAATGTGTATATTACAGTTAGACAAAGGATATTAGGGAGATTACGTATAATCAAATCAATCACAAAAGATATACGTACATGACTATAAAAGAGTAGTATATAAATTATTTAAAATATTAATTTGATTGTACAAATAAAATTTGGAAAAAAAAAACAAATTGCAAATGCAAAGGCCAAGGGGAAGCTGCCACGTCAACACGGATAAAGCAAACAGCGCACGTAATCAATTGCGTGTAGATTTTGGGGGACCGCTCCTCCCCGTAGATTCTTGTGCCACGTGTTTCTGACGCTTTACTTTCCTCACGTGTTAGTAAGACACGTGTCAAACGTTTCATAATAATGGGCCTTTCGTATTACCTACATTTGGGTAAATAATATATTTGGGCCTAAGCCCAATACTAAGTTCCACTTCGTAACTTGCCTCTCAAGCCCAACATTTGTCATTTCATTCTCGAATTTGAGCTGCCTATGTTGGTTTTAAAATTGGAAATTTAAAAATTATATTACTAGTTTATTTTACAATCTATGTTTTAAGTTTAAAATTAAATTAGACCAAAAAAAATAAAAATATTAAAATCAAGTTTACATAAATTATGCCTCTATATATATACGTACACCTCTGTCTGTGTTGGATGGTTTTGTAATATATATCATTAAAAGAACATATACATTGACCATTTTGTAATGCGTATTCTGTCTACAAGAATCTTACATATGCATGACTATGATTCTCAAGTTCATACCAACCAAATCTCCTTGGTGTCTAATATATATATATATATAGATGGATGGATGGATGCATGTATGTCCATATAATGTTCGCATGCCTAGTTGTGCCTTATTATAACAAGTGTCGTGGCCAGATGTTTTCAACGTTATAAAATCCAGTTTATCAAATAAAAAATTCTCAAATATATTTCAACTAATTCATTGAAGATTCACATAAGTCACCTAATTCTATTATTTTATCTTGGAACTTTATCAAAACATGTTTCCAAGTCCTCCATTATTATTATTAATTATTATATCACAAAAGTAAAAAAGCAAAAAATCTTTTAATTTATTAATTTTCTCACAAAAGTAAATTGCCATTGGATCTTGAGTGAAAGCCTTTCCCACTACCCACCTGATCTTGTTTGAGGAAACAAAACAACTCCAAATTATATATGCAATAATCATAATCCTTAGCCTATATAAGTCGTACCAAGAAATTAAATAATTTTTTAAATCCACTCATTTACCTAAAAGCTGTTATTATTTTATTTAAACTTGTAGCCAATTGAGTTAATTGGTTTGACACGAAACGACCGGCTTCTAATTTGTTGAAATTTTATAAATAATAAATATTCTAGAAACTAGAAAGAGCTGCATTATTGATCAAATTGATATATAAATATAATAAAATCAACATGGAAAATCTCAGCACATGTTTACGGCTTCCGTGTTCACTGCTAAGACCAAAATGACATCATTTTGCTGTTGCTGCGGTGGTGGCAGAGACACGATTGAGAATGTTAGAGTTGTTAAGATAAGATATGCTTCTTCAATTCTTTACGTACACACCTATAACACACACGAAATATTTACGTATTTAATTACATATATGCGTTTACACACACATACATGTATGTATGTATGTATGTATGTATGTATGTATGTATGTATGTATGTATGTATGTATGTATGTATGTATGTATGTATGTATGTATGTATGTATGTATGTATGTATGTATGTATGTATGTATGTATGTATGTATGTATGTATGTATGTATGTATGTATGTATGTATGTATGTATGTATGTATGAGATTTATTAGTTATGCGCTATTTATTTGTATGATATGATCGAGGGTTTTGAGTGGTAGTAACTAGTAAGTACAAATCCCCCCTTTTACATGAAATATTTATGGGAGATCATTATAAAAAAAAATATTTACGGGAGATCATTACGGTAAAAATGATAGACGGATATAGATTATTCGAATTGAGCAGGTATTAATAAATTCATTAAAACCCTTTTAATTATTTTAATTTAAAGATGGTAACAATTAATCTTAATTCTCTATATTCAATAAAAATAGAACAAACTGATATTCTATTTTTTTTTCAATTCTATTCATAACATTTCAATAATTTTTTGGACTAGCATGTCCCGAACATGTTTCTATGTATAACATAGCACTATGGATAAACGAAATAGAAAAAGGGTCGTGCCATGTAGTGTAGAGGATATCATCAATATGTCACTTTGACGCATCGGGAGTGAGATTTTTTCATTTAAAAAATAAGATGTTATTTTTTAAACGTATATAACATTTAATAAATTATATATTTAGCATGCATCCACTCATTTTCGTAATTTAAATATCAATACGTTATCAGCAGTAATATTATAGAAAGTTTCTCGTGGGCCTTTCGTATTATTTTTTTATTGGTGCGGTGCGAAGTTGGTTGAGTTTACTGTGTAACACAACCAATTAACTCACCGTTTCATATTCAATGAAATGTAATTTATTAATTCAGTAAATTTAAAATTTTCTACCGTATGATTAAATTTCCTAAATTTTTTAACAATCTTTGTTCTATAAATGCAACGTTTAATTTCACAAATCAAACTTCCTAGATTCTCAAAAAAAATCTTTATAAAATTGACAAATGTTTTTAATTCACTAAATTTCCAGAACTCGATTTTTTATTGTTCGGAATCATTATATATTACAATATATATGTTTAGAAAGAGAGAGAGAAAGAAGTAAATGTACAAATTTTCTATATACCACAAAACTTGGTGAAAGTTTTCAATATCAATATTTTGCATTTTTTTTAATGAAATCCGAAATATATAAAACATAAAAGTTTTTAGAACTCGAATACAATATCCAAAATATAGATTTTTAGAAGAAAAAAAAACATCAATTGATGTTCCCTTTAATCCTCCCGACGGAACCTAAGATCTTCTCAGGTTTGTGTCATGAGTGAGATATATATATATATATATATATATATATATATATATATTACAGTTCTTTGTTTTTTATATTGTAGATGAAATTATATATATCTTGAGTACACACACGTTGCGATAATGTTTTTTATGTTAATCAATAAAATATGATTTGCCCATTATGTATGGATATTTCTTACATTAAATTATACATTTATGAAATATAAAAATTATTTTATGATTTTCAGAATAAAAAAATAATCTGTCACTGTCAGTTATTTTAAAATTGGATAATTTCGTTATAATTTATTTATCAGGGAAAAGGGAATACTTTTGTCACGATGCCGTAATATTGGGCTTGTCCGTAGATTTTCGGAAAATGAAAGGTCGAAAATGAGAGTGGGCCCCAAAATCTCCGAGTAGGCTTCAACGAGCTGACTCAACAGACAACGAGTTGGTTGAAATTGAGAGTCGAGACGTTTTGACTCTCTCACCTCACATGATCTAATAAATTGTCTTAACCCCATAAAAAATAATGGTTTTTTAATTTTGATAAAATAATTAATTTAATTCTTATAAATTAAAAAATTATAAGATTTAAATTTCATATGCACCATAAATATCCTGAACATCTAAATAATTAATTCACAGCTTAAAAAATATACTTTATTAAATCTGATTATCACATTTGTATTTGTAGTATTGATTATTTTTAGATCATAACACATTGTTTGGCTTTAGTTTGTAAGATGTTGAACATTATTTGATTTTTAAGTCTTATACAACATAATATTATAAACTTAAATTTAAACTAATTTATAGTCTTAATAGTGTCATGTGAATATTTATCTAAATTTCTGAGTATTTGTCTTGTGAACTACGACCCTTTTCATGTTTATTGTATGAATATCAACAAAACATTGACTAATAGTACATATGCTAAAACATCTGACATCTATTAATATAACGTTTAGATTAAAAAACTAATCTAAATAGATTTTTATCCCCCAAGATTACTGTTATATTACTAAAAACGATTTATATAATTGAAATTCTGAATAGCGTTTATCAGTATATAAATATTGAATTTGTAATTCAATTTTCAATATAGGTTTGAGTTACAAATGTTGGGAAATTTAGGAGCTCTATATATAATTTTAATCTGTTTTTTTAACTCTTGTGTCAAATATGAATTTTTATTTACTTTTTCAATGCTAATTTCTAAGGCGAAAAAACTTCTATGTGACAAGCAATAATTAATAACTATCAATAATATTACAAATATCATTACCCAAAAAGGATATTATACTACAAACTATGTATCTGAACGTTGAGTTGTCAAGTTGACGACGGCACGTGCAATCTTTTTTTTTTTGGTCAAAGGACGGCACGTGCAATCTTACCGAAGCCAAAATATAACCATTATCATTGTGGTAATCGTGACCATCTATCGAAACTATAGACATATTGAATGGAAATTAGGTTATATAACACAACAAATTATTACAATTACTAAATAACATTTTCTTTTTTAAAAACTTTAGGATAATAGACTTTTTTGTACTTTGAAAACATATTTTGGCTTTGTATTAGGTGGTTTATATTTTAATGTAG